GCGATTGCCGTCCTGCAGGCCCACCAGGCCAAGGAGTGATCTCCTACGAAGTGAAGAAGCGCTTTCAGGTTAGCAACATCTTCCTCTTCCTTAGTTCGAAGACATTTTCAGGGTTCTTACGGGTGCTGGAAATCCTTGAAAATGCTTGAAATTGTAAGAGGTGTTTTCAAGGTTTTGAAAAGTGCTTGAATTTTGGGAATGGTGCTTGAATTTGGGATAAAGTGCTTGAAATTGTAAATGCTTTACTTCGCTTTTTAGATTAAAAGAAAATGAAGAAGTCGGAGCGCGCTTATTTGCTTCGCTTTTACATAAAACAGCTCCGCTCTGGCCTTCCCGCGCTATGCGCGTGACCTGCAAGTGTTTTTGTTACGTGTGACCTGGGCATTCTGATGAGAGTGATAGAAGACAGTATGCCAGGAGGTTGCAGTTTCAACGAGCGTTGGCTAGCAGAAGACAAATACAAGCCATGGCTAAGACGAGGGTCAAGCCCACGAGTTGCCTCCTGCAAAGTTTGCAAAAAATAACGATGGGAGAGTCTGCGCTGACGAGCCACATGAAAGGTACGCCGTAGTAGAGCATTTTAGATTAGGCTAACGTTGCATGTTACGTTTGTTTAAGCTAACGTTAGCAAGCTGAATAGCGAACTCGATGAGAGATAATAATAATTGCAGGGGACAATCATTTCAAAGGAGCGTACCTATGTTATGGGCGTTACAGTGTTCAGAGGATGAAGCACCCACTGTTGTAATTCAACCCAGTCTAACGGCATTTCGTGTTATAGTCACGAAATATAATCTATTGATTCGACACAGAGCGATTTTAAAAGCAATGTATTTCTACTGGTAGTATGTTTCGTGCCTAAACCAAATGTGACTTGCTCTAGTGTGTGTGTGTGTGTGTGTGTGTGTGTGTGTGGTGTGTTGTGGGTGTGTGTGTGTGTGTGTGTGTGTGTGTGTGTGTGTGTGTGTGTGTTGTGTGTGTGTGTGTGTGTGTGTGTGTTGTGTGTGTGTGTGTGTGTGTGTGTGTGTGTGTGTGTGGTGTGTGTGTGTGTGTGTGTGTGTTGTGTGTGTGATGTGTGTGTGTGTGTGTGTGTGTGTGTGTGTGTGTGTGTGTGTGTGTGTGTGTGTGTGTGTGTGTGTGTGTGTGTGTGTGTGTGTAAACTGAGGATTTGACCGCGTCGCTATAGTTGATACTTTTAGAAACAGGCTTTTATATCAAATCTTGAAGTATTATACAAGTAAAACTACATTTTTCTTTAATCCCATGTAATTGTAGAATGAACACAGTCTTCCTTTGAAGATGTATAAGTCAGGTGTCTTGAGTAGTCAAAATTACTTACAAATCATTGTCAGGGATGCAAACTTGTCACCTTTCGGCGAAATTGGCCGTTTTGAATCCAAAATAGGTCGTTTGTGTGATTCATGTAGATCTGCAATAAAAATATTTTTGGGGTATGGGGGGGGTCTGGGACCCGGAGTAATCGGCGGCCGCGAGCTGTTATGTGCCATCATGACACGCATGGTGTTCTTTTTTTATATATTATAATGAAGCGCGAGCACAAGTCTTCCTGCCTGTCGGCTCTGCTCATGGATGTATAATAAGGCTCTGCTGCTCCACGATGATGGTCTAGCTACATTATCTACGGGTGCGTTCGTTAATATTAACTGTGCGGTCCGGAGTCACTGTGGCACAGACTGGACCGCTGGTGAACAGCTGTTAGAACGGGCCGTTCAGGTGTTCAGAGCAGTGCACCCTGTCGGAGCGGCAGAGCGTGATGTGCACTGAAAAGTTTTTCTGTCGCTATATTATCGTTGTCGAGCTAGCTAACTAGCATACATTGTCACTATCTGCTAACGTTAGCTTTAGCCTTCGTTTTCTAATATTTTTTTTCATAGGCTATAAACGGAGGTGGTATAAGTATAGATCTTGTACTTGAGTAAAAGTAGAAGTACTCAGATCTTGTACTTGAGTAAAAGTAGAAGCACTCAGATCTTGTACTTGATTAAAAGTAGAAGTACTCAGATATTGTACTTGAGTAAAAGTAGAAGTACTCAGATATTGTACTTGAGTAAAAGTAGAAGTACTCAAATCTTGTACTTGAGTAAAAGTAGAAGTACTCAGGTTTGAGTAAAAGTAGAAGTACCAGAGTGTAGGAACAATCCTGCAATCAAAATGTTCCTCAAATAAAAGTACAAAAGTATTATCATCAAAATATAGTTAAAGTAGCGACAGTAAAAGTAGAAGTACTCAGATCTTGTACTTGAGTAGAAGTGGAAGTACCAGAGTGTAGGAATACTCTGTTACAGTAAAAGTCCTGCATTCAAAATGTTACTCAAGTAAAAGTAGAAAAGTATCATCATCAAAATATAGTTAAAGTAGCGACAGTAAAAGTAGTCGTTGTGCAGATTGGTCCATTTCAGAATAATATATATGATATGTTTTATAATGATTGATCATTAAAGTGTTCTCAAAGCTGGTAAAGGTGCAGCTAGTTTGAATGACTTTGTATACTGCAGGGTAGCTTGTGAATTTACTCCAGGTGGAACTAAAGTCTGATTTAACACTTGATTATATTTCACATCATTCATCCAGATCTGTAAAGTAACTAAAGGTATTAAATACATGTAGTAGAGTAAAAGTACACCATTTACCTCTGAACTGTAGAGGAGAAGAAGAACAAAGTAGCAAAACATTGAAATACTTAAATAAAGTACAAGTATCTCAAAATTGTACCCAAGTATAGTACTTGAGTTTATGAACTTACTGAAGTTACTTTACACCACTGGCTATAAAGATAGAAAGACTAAGCCTTGCACAGAGGCATGAAAATACATTTTCAAAATGCTCAACAGTCCTGCCAAAATTATAAACTGACTGCTACACAATTAAAATAAATGCTTTTATATATTTCTATTAGATGTGACTCTTTGGCGTTTCTGTTATTATTAACTGCTTTAGTTGTTCTGACTGCTAAAATCCTGTTATTCCTCATTTTAAAGCCGATATTCCGTGGGGTCGGGGGACTCGGATCCTTGTCACCTTTTTCATACCTGATGAGTTTGCATCCCTGATTGTACACATTTGTAAATATTATTTTCCACTTGTTACCATTGTAAGTCTATTTTTATGCAGCTCTGCGTGATTTTGTGGCTACAATTCAGGCTAATACGCTACCAGAGGTGGAATAAGTACTCAGATCTTGTAAGTACCAGAGTGTAGGAATACTCTGTTACAGTAAAAGCCCTGCATTCAAGTAAAAGTAGAAAATAATTATCATCAAAATATAGTTAAAGTAGTCATTATGCAGATTGGGCTATTTCAGAATAATATATATGATATGTTTTATAATAATTGATCATTAAAGTGTTATCAAAGCTGGTAAAGGTGCAGCTAGTTTGAATGACTTTGTATACTGCAGGCTAGCTTGTGAATTTACTCCAGGTGGAACTAAAGTCTGATTTAACACTTGGTTATATTTCACATCATTCATCCACATCTGTGAAGTAACTAAAGGTATTAAATACATGTAGTGGAGTAGAAGTACACCATTTACCTCTGACTTATGTTTACTGCCAACCTAAAAGTACCTCAAAAATAGTAATCAATAATGTATTGAAAAGTTATTTGGCTGATTGTTTTATATTGGCTCAGCCAGGTTATATGGGATGCCCAGTCTACGTACAGATGGGTCACTCATTTTGAAATATTAAACTTGGTTTTCTTTTCTTTAATTTTTCATCCTCATGTAGAATGCTATTATGAAACACACATTTGGTTGTTTATAGCATAAAGAACATCTGATTTAATGCGAGGTAGGGAAATAATCATTTGAGTATAAGTATGTGTATATAAATATGTAATTTACAACAGCTGTAAGATGCTTGAAAAGTGCTTGAATTTGACTTTGGAAAATGTGTAAGAACCCTGCATTTTCCGCAGGAGAGGATTCTTATGGTGCGTTCACACCGGACCAGAAAGCTGCTGTGTTCACGGTTTAGTTCATACATTCTTAGGTTTGCAGTTCATGTTTTATCATTGGCATAATCATTATCTTTTCGTGGACAAACATTGCCAAGACCCTCACGCCCAAATCCCAAAAGCTACTGCAAGTATCTGCAACAGTCATTTCTTCAGTTACCAGTTTCCTGCGTTTTACCCTTCAGGCGAAAGCACATCAGCGAGCTAGGACTTTTGGTTGTTGTTAAATGTAGCCTTTGTTACGCTGGTCCAGAAACATTGCTGCACATGTTTCATAAACAGTTTGCTGATTTGCCGACATCAAATGTTGCCACTAAAGACTAATAATCTTATTTTTTCCAGATGTCAACAACTTTCTGGAGGAGGGGGAAAAAACAAAAAAAAACAGTAAAACTTTGAAAACTAAAAAAAATTGATAGAAATATTTGAAATATTAAAACTATTTTGTTGTTGCAATACCTTTTGTTAGAAGATAAAGTTCAAAGTATATGCATTAACCTGTCTTGTGTCATTTGTTAAACACAAAATGTGCAGTTCATCCACTTCCAATAAGTTGTTTGTCCAAATTAGTTACGTTTTCTGGAAGAGTCTTCCTCTTATTACTGCACTGATGAAGGGTGGGAATCCAATAGCCTGTGATATATTTTTTGTTGATGTTTGGGCCTTAGGCATCAGTGGAAAGGACAAGGTGAGTTTCTTTAGAACCGTTCAGCATGAGAAAAGATTAAGAATACTTGACTGCTTTTGTAAATGTATCCCTGATAACTGCCCTTGATCTAAGTCATGCTATATTAAGCTAATTGTCATACTGTAACGGATCAACTTTTAAAATAACTTAATTCAGGCAATGAAGGGTAAGTTGTGTGGTGCACAAAATAATGAAATCAGCAATTTTTTTTCAGAGGCAACTCCAGTTTATTGGTGTTGAAACATGGTGTCCAATGCTGTTATAAGGACTTTAAATCATAACAGCTTTATTTAACCTGGAAAGACTTAATCTGAAAAAGGACATACACAGAAAATGAATTGTCAAATTTGCCAAAGTTTATTGGGAGCCTTCATACAAAAAATGAAATTATGGCTGTAAAAAGTTACAAAGGATTATTGTCGACATTGATATACTTTTGGCATTTAAGGCCTATAACCCAACAGTTTTGTAACTCTTTTGCAATTTTAAATCTAAAATTGGTGATTTAAACAAGCAGATAAGACAGGAATATTTAAAAACATACAGACCAATAGATAACTGCAGATTACTTCTCGTGGTAGTTTACAACACAAACCCACAAAAAATGTGAAAAGCAACTCAAAAAAAAAACACCCTGCCTATTCTTCAATGGTGAACACAGGAAGTTGAGGCAACTTTTATTACACACAGCCATCTAATTCCAATGCGTCTGTTTCAACGACACCTCCATGACTGCAAACAAAGTATTTACACTGAATTTCTTAAGCATGTCTCAGACTATCGACGTGTCGGCATTAGAAGCTGCTTCGCTGTGACTGAATCAGGGAAAAGGTTGTGGTAGGTTGGTAGGGGAACGTAGGCAGCCGTTATCATTTTGCCTGGAAACGAGAGAACAAGGAAACGTTAAAAAGAGCAAACTTTCCACCAGTTGTTTTTTACAGCTACATTTTAAAGATTCAAATACCTGCAAACCAGCGTCCATGAAGTGCATTTACAGTTGCCATCGCTGCTGGTATTGAGGGACACTTCACGTACACGTTACCCTGTGAAAGAAAGGAAATCTGTCACTATGGATCAACTTCAACATGGAGACTATTTACTTTTCTGTCCACTAGGGAAGTCAGATTTGCTTTATGGGTGAACAAATCTCAAAAACCTGTAATTATTAACTTACTTGAGCAGAGTTCCTATCAACATAAATGTGAACAATCCCTCCATGTTTGTTACATTCTTCAATAACATCATCTTGGATCTCAGCGGCCCAGGTGAGATCATTTTCTCTGAAAAATAAAAGCACATTTTGATATTTGAATAGGAATTTTGTGCCAACTTAACTATAAGAGACACATTTGAAGAAATGAAATGTATAATCCTTACGCTTGTGGGTTGAACAGGTTGGAGAGCTGAAGGCAGTGAGTGGCCAGCGGTTGTGACGGGAGGTTCAAGGCTTGGTTTTGCGCTTGAGAATGAACAGCTGAAACAAGTCATTTGTCACAATATATTTTCAAATACATGAATAAACATACAAAGAAATATTTTCCATCATTTAGACCCTCACATTGTTGAGAAATGTTTCCGAAGGGTATGGACCCGGTCATCTGTAGAGCCTGCTGAGCGGCAGGAGGGATCTTCAGACCAGTTCCTGAGGAGGGAAGGACTGTTATTTTTAAAATACTTAATCTAACACAACATCTAGGAAACAAGCCTCAGTAAGCTAAGATCAAAATCCTGTGTCAGCTGTAACAGACAGAAATATTCACACCTACATGTTGTGTCTTGTCTACGATGCAGAGCTACTTAGAATGAGCCTTGACTGCATAAATCCCTAAAAAAAGGTATCCAGTTTACTGTAACAAAACCATATTTATTTTTGTCTCATGACTGACACTTGCTGTTCAATAGGACAAAATGAATATAAATGTACTTTGTTTTGCTTTTGTACGGTCAAAACAAAGTGTTGCATGTGATGACGGACCTTCTGCTAGTCGAGCCATCAGCTGGAGGCGCCCCGTGGTGCCGAGGTCGATGCCGGTCCTCTCCAGCTCATCGTTGTCCAGGAAGGAGCTGGCTGTCGACGAGTCGGAGCGCTCTGTAACATGCCCCACCTTCATGGGACGTCCGGCCAGCTCAAAGCCGTTCAGCTGCTCCAGGGCCTTCTTTGCACATTCTGCATCTGAAAACTTTAAGAAGCAAAGAGGTAAGAATCAGACTACCTGAACTCTACTAAATCACTGAATGAAGTAGATGATTTAATTACCGATATGAAGCCATATCCTTTGGATCGTCCGGTCTCACTGTCCATCATTAGCTGGATTCCCTCGATCTTTAGACACAAAACACACCAATATGAGGATTATTATTAATGCATCTACAAATTAAGTTATAACTATATGTGAAACCGTTTTTTCACCTTTCCAAAAGGCTCAAAGATCCCTCGCAGCATTTCCTCAGTGATGTTGAAGTGCAGCGAGCCGACGTACAGCCTCATCGGGCCTGAACTGCCCTTCTGTAGATTGTTGGCCGCGGCTGCAGCGCGATTTTTCTCTGCCTGTTATTACATGAAGTAATGTAATTACGTTAATTCAGTATATAAACGTAGAACAATAGAATTAATTGTAACCCCACGGTAATCTGCCTAAAACAAGTTTCCATTTAGATAAATATGTTTGTTGGATATATGAGGTGCCCACCTGCGAGGCCTGGACGATGATGGGCACTCCTAACAGCCTCTGGCCGGTCAAACCGATAGCCAGCGGTACAGAGGAAGACTCCACAAACTCGATGTATGCGATGCCCTTTGATCTCCTGGAGTTTCTGTCAGATATCATTCTCACATCTCTTACCTACAGAGAGAAACAGTGACAGTTTAAGACATGATGTCCCCACATAGACTTGCTGGATTGTACGAGAAAATAACTTCAATAAAATCTACAGACTTTTCCGACAGCCGAGAAGAAGTCTTCCAGGTCTCGAGCTCTGATTCTCGCAGCCAGCTGCATACAGAAAACTGTGCGGGCATCCCTCTCCTCTGGTGTGAGATTGTCAATTGGTTGCCTTTAAAAAGAGAAACAGCCAATTTATAAAAAAAGAATGCTCTGGAAACATAAAAAATGAACAATGTATTGTGAGAAATTGTAAATATTGTGACGAATCAAAAAAGGTTAATCTTACTCCCTGATTTTGTTATACTGCCCGATAGCATCCTCAAAGTTTCTTGAATAAAAAGAAGAAATGTAAAAGATCTGTTTAAACCTTGAAGAAAATCTCTTCAGGGTGCTATAGCAAAATCAGGAAATGCTCCCATTTGCTCATAAACAGTAATGTGGAAGTCTTACCGGATGGGACTCTTCTCTTTTTTGAAAGGGCTGCGGCTTTTGGAACGTTTCCGCCTGAAAAAATAAAGAACAATTACTTTACGACTTTTAAATATATTGAGTTTAGAAAATGATTCACTACTGAGGTCATAGTTAGTGATGGTTTTAAACTGGACTGCATTAATGGCCCAGTTGTATTTAGACTTTTCAGACAATGTTTCCATAAAACAGAGCACTGTAAGCTACATAGAGACAGCTGCATTATATGGAACCATAGAGGGTAAATGTCCTCAAGTATAAAAAGGTCACATACACCGGGCTCTTGCGGGCCCTGTAGCGCCCGGAGCGCTCCTTGCTTCGGGAGCCGCTCCGATGGCGCTCCTTGCTGCGGGTCCGTTTTCTTTCTCTGCTCTTGCTCCTCTTCTTACTCTTCTTTTTGTCTCTGCTTCTGCTCCTTTTCTTCTTAGAGCCTGGGCTTCGGCTCTTACTACGACTCCTCCTTTTCCTGAAACATGGTACAACACTGCTATCCTTGTGCAAGAAAAAGTGATCACATTAAATAGTAACAACTTGATATATACGTCAGAACCACAAAGTGGCCAAATAATATGGGATATAATATTTTAAAGACTTACTTCTTGTTTTGGCCGTCATGTCCATTTGCATGAGAGGACCTGATCTCATCCTAAGCAAGGTTGATAGAAGAACATCATGAGGACGTAGATGAAACATTTCAAGTCGTCAAGGTAAAGGGGGTGGGGGTGGGACAAGAGAAAATGCAGAATGTATATAATTAATAATAATAATACTTCAAAACTTCCTACTGTCATGTCTGGACAGTGTCCTTCCACCACCCCAATAGCTTCCCATCCCACTTCTGCTTTTTACAAGGCTGCTCAGTACTTAATGCAACAAAGCAAAGTTAAGGGAGTCTCCAACATATTAGCAGAGTTCAGGAAGCTTTCAGATCATCTCCACCATTCCCCTCCTTATAGGTCGTACCAAAGCCACTATTTGTGCCTAATCATGTGACCACGCATGGCCCACGACCACTAAAAGAGATCCTGTGTGGTTGGTGTCAGTCCAGTGATCTTCACCCATTTTCGTTCTTGGACTGTAAGAGCTCGATGCCACCTCTGTCACACATCTTGCCCTGAAGCAAACAGGGATTCACACTTCTTAGTAATATTGACGCCCAAGGAAAATAATGAAGAAATAAAAAAAAGAAATAATCCATCAATTCAGCCACGTGTTATACTGCCATTATCTTTAGTCTGAATAAAGTATAAGTAATATTTCCAATCTTTTGACTTAAGGAATTATTATCTACTGAAAAAGAACTGACTATAAAAACAATGATGCAGGATAGTCTATTTTACAATCATTCTAAAAAATATATCAATATCTTTGGTTTTGTGTAGCATGCAAAATTAAGATGCTGATTCACATAACAGTTGACTATGGAAAAGAGGCAGTATTCATATTCACTTGCAAGAAAAGTTAATTATTCACCTGTGATTTGCCATAAAAACATGACATGGCACATGTGCTGGAACCATGAAGCTCCACAACTGCAATATCTGCATTTTCAAGCATACTGTTGTCAAACTACAGCTAATTGATTTAAAACAGTTATAGATTGATATCACAATTCAGTATCCCTTAATGACTTAAAAACACAACGTTATACAGGTTTCTAACTAAAGAGCAGTTTCGTCGAAGTTTAATTACTTCAGGCTACAGAATTAAACATTTTTGTTAAAGCCACAAAGTCCAAGTAATTTCAGAAGTCGTGTTTTATGCGGTTTGTACAGGACTGTTGAGAAACAGTGTTGGCATGCAGATTGTAAATCTGAATACTGCCTCCTTTTCTGGACAGTTAAAGATGGGCTTATCAACCATTGGCATTCACCTTGTTGCAACCGAATAGGGATTGGATGTTCTAGGTTGAATCTCTTTTACTCCTAAGGTGGACCACAGTACATCAGTATATGCACAATAACTACCTTCCTTTTTTTCACAGTTCACAGTGGAATCAAAGATGAATTCATGGGAGTAGAGGTGAGATATCATTAGGGAAGTCTATAAAGAGAGATAGATGCGGATTTATTTATAATTCTGTATTGCGTTTTAAATACTCAATCACACCACACAACATTCAAGTAAACTTAGTCACAGTAAGCAAATGTCAAAGGACTCAAGAGTAAATCATAACAGTGAAACAGGCCTCATATCTCTTTCATCTGAAACCCACCTTTCTGAATGGAGCCTCCAGCATGGCCTCAACGTCAAAATCATCAGCCATGATGATCCTGTGAATGGAGAAAACAATGATCTTTACAATCAAGAAACTTGTTTTGAGTGGCTTATGCAAGAGGCGGTACGGATTCTTCTTGAATCTTTGTTATGCAGTTGAATACAATCAAGTATGAAAAGAAATGGTTGAGAATTAGGCTAAGCAACACGGTTTATCTAATAGATATTATACACACTTAAAGTAGGCTACATTGGTTCCTACTGATAAATTGTGTTGCTGTAATTAGCCCTTCATATTGTATGAGTCTACAGCTTTATACCAGTCACTGTTCAGTTGTTGTTGTCTTTTTAGATGTGCATATTTACCGGTTTTGTTTGGGGGTTTTTCTACTCTTTTTCGCATTGTGTGCAACGGCTTGTTTACATGCTGCTGTGGCGAAAACAATTCTCAAAGTGGCCTCAATAAAGTAAATCTAATACAATGGATAGATGTTACGCTATGTTACATTTGTTTATCAGCTTTCCTACCTACCTTACCTGGTGTTTAGAGCTGTATCTTCTTAGGGTTAGTCATACAAGTAAACTCGCATTCAATGACAAAGGTAAATCACATGAATGAAGCCAAGTTACTGTAAGCTAGATTCACGTCTGCTAGAAAAACAGAGCTACGTCAGTTAGTTTGCAGCGATACGAGATAGAGTTGGCCCAGACTTCCTTACACATTTCGTTTATATGATAAATGTAATCTTGAATGAGATCAATTAAGTCACAGATTAAAGAGAGCTCAAAAGTAGGTTTAGCATTAGAGGTAGCATTAATGATAAACACGCGTTGCACTCAACACGGAGCTAACCCTCACTAGCCACCTTGGGGAGCTACATCTCCGTCGTGTTAAGCTTGTATCATTGACTGTTATTATTAATTTACCGCATCGTTCGACTAGTCTGCTCACATGATTATACATTAACGTATACACATCGTCAGTATGAATCAAGTACAATACATCATTACCCTGAAATGTTTACAAATGGCCGAGTAATGTTTACATTGGGGAAACAAGTTAAACAGCCAATATGGCTAACAGCATTTCCGCGGAAGCGAGCTAGCTTAATTAGCAAACATTGACGTTACCGTTTGAAATTGATGAAATGATGTACCAAAGTCAAAATATCAATGGAAAGGTGCTGCAGAAGAGACTTGTCTCGACGCCTCCCTCTAGGAAGATCACACAAAGCTAAGATCTATTCACAATTTTCGAAGTTATGTAACCTTTTATATGTTAGCGACTGGCCGTGGCAGGTCGTGGCCTGGTATCAAAAAGCTCGCCTTCCTTCTTCTTCGTCTCCTTCTTCTTCTGCTGTTTTGAGTCCAGCGGCGATGCGTGTTTGTTGCTTTAGCGCCACCCTCTGGAGATGCGCAGCGCTTCATCTCTCTCCCTCAAACAGGCAAACTACACATGTAAGCAGTGTTGTAAATAAGTAAGTACACTTACTTAAGGACTGTACTAAGTATAATTATGAAGTACTTACATGTTGTGGTACTTTGTACTTCTACCCCACTACAATTGAGAGGTAAATCGTGTACTTTTACGCGACTACATTCATTTGATCTACCTTTAGTTACTTTGCAGATTTTGATTAATGATGTGAAATATAAACAACCATTAAAAAAGGTCTTAAGTTACACTTGGAGTAACATTCCCCAGCTAGCCTTCAGCATTCGAAGTAACTCAAATTAGCTGCATAATTACAAGCTTTGATAAAACTTACTCAATCATCAGTAGGCTATTTACAATCAAAACATAACATTTATATAATCTTAAAATTATCCAATCTGCATAAGGATTACTTTTTTTGGCACTAAGTGTTTTAATGCGAATACTTTTGTATTTTACCTTGATTAACATTTTGATTGTAGGACTTTTACCTATTTGAGTAATTACATTTCCTGCTACTTTAAACTTCTACTCAACTACATCTTAGAGTTTTTTTTTTTACTTTACTGCCTTTATTTGATCTATTTATTTAACGAGCTCTGTAGAGATCAAAGGTTTGCATTGTTCTGAATGAGAGATAAACTTCTTACATGTGAACGTTTTGTGGAAGAAACATAACAGATATCTGTGAAATTTCAAAACGTGAAGCATGTCAAGGAAGTTGATTATCTGAAGTGTAATTTTTGTGTACTTTCGGGTTGATAATGTGGCCTTTTTGGCAGTTTAACTAAAGGTGTGCGGCTGCTGCTGTGAGGAAATATCAGCCTGAAATTACAATGGGTTTTAATGGAGACATGTTGAAAGTTTTTGTCACTTCATGCCCTCAAGAGGCATTTTGTTCAATTATTTTTGCTTAATTATTTGTCATTTTTCAAGCTACGAGATGTTTTCCTACGTTTGTCATGAAAAATTATGTCTCAGGAATGTAGGGTTTGGGAATTATGGGAGTTTTAAAAAAAAATATGAAGGCAAATTTCAAGATTTCCTACCCTCTAGCTGTGACATCACGCACTCTAGTTAATGTTAAAATCTGAAGAAAGCCTCTTTACCAAGGTCTGAACAATGTTTAATATCTCTAAAAGTAAGAATCAGATTTAAAAGTTGTGTTACACGAATAATGTCAGAAAGATGTGTAACATTTTAAAGTTGGAATGAGGTTTCTGAGTGAAAGTATGAATGAACAGTTAGCAGTTGAAGTCGCATGAAGATTGTTCAAGTCTGAAGATTTTCTCCATTGACTTCAATGGTTAAAAATGTGATGAATTATGGGATGTATCTCTGGAATTATGAAAGTTATGAATAATCCAAATGATAGCCATCGATTCCCGACCAAGCTGAACGTTTTGATGTTTGAACGGAGTTTCTGCGATGTTGAATGCAGGAGGAGAAGAGGTGCAAAATTCCGGCGGAATAATACAAATGTTGTCCGTAGAATAACATATAGTTGGAATGCTGTATCAGCATTCCCACTCAATATAATCAATGAATACATATAGCCCCAAAGCTATACATGACAGGAAATATAGAAAATATAAGCTCCTCTTACAAGCTGCAACATACGTGGTACACATTGGTGCCTCATTAATTATAATGCAATAGCACAAAATAAAATAAGATAAGATAGTACTTTCTTGATCCCAATTTCGGAAATGTTTGTTCATATATATTATTCTGAAATGGGCCGTTGTGTAGAAAGCCTACTTTTGCTTTGGTACATTATTAATACTGCTAATACTTTTATACTTTAATTTAAGTAACAATTTAAATGCAGAACTTTGACTTGTAATAAAGGATTTTTACACTGATTAGATCTGAATAGTGTTTACCTGCATTAAGCCTATACGAATGAATTAAAGCAGGGGGGTGATTTAAGGCTGGAATATGTGGAACATTTTTATATCCTGTGCGTGACTGAACTACAAAGATAACCTCTCCATATGATCAGTTTTAAGATTTGACATTTTTCCTTCTCTTGTAACTCCTGTGAGACAGAATTGAGGGCACGAACAGCTCAGTAATGGCGCCTTTTTGAACCACGTCACATTCATTTAATTCACTGCTATGTGTCGCCATCTTGTGATGAGGAAAAACAAATGTCAATGCTCTTCCATCTTGCATGTCCTAAGTTTTTCTAAAATAAAATAAAAAGTCATGGTATAGTATGTCAAAAGAAAAATGTAATATTTCGAAAAATATATTAAAAAGGCACAGTAAATTATTTATACTCTTTCAAGGTTCCCATAGACCTGAAATGTATGGGATTAGTTTTGTGTCATAAAGATAAAGGAACACTTTCTCAGAATCAAGAGGCGCGTTCACACCGGAGTACTTTTACCCTGTACTTTTCCCGTTTAGTTCCGTTAGTACCCCTGATGTCGCGTTCACACCAAAAATAGTACTTAGTGCTGGGAACTTTTACCCCCATTTTCAGTGCCTGCTAGAGAGGTGGTACCAAAAAAGTACCAATTTCTATTGGCTGGGCGAATTGCAAACCACGCCCAAACTCATAAAACTCCCAAAAAGTTTTGTGAAGCCGCCATTTTATTATCATCGCATTAGCATTATTAGCATTAGCATTAGCCCAGCGCAGAAACGCAGAGAGACTAACTTATGGCAACACAAAAGAAAACATGGGAGCGGTGGAGATGAGGAGGTGTCGGTGTTCTGGCGATTTACTCGGAAGGCTTCAGTAGAAGCCAGTCCCCAACTCCGGGGACTTCCGTCCGGGGACTTCGGGTGGCAGTATACGCCGTGAAGTTGTTTGCGGCCTGCCAGTAAACCCAAAGCAGAAGAAGACGAAGTGACGTCAGCGGCTCATTTGCGTAATCTTCCCTCAGGGAAAAGTACTCCGGTGTAAACGCGATTGGTACTTAGTGCCCTGGGGTAATAAGTGCCGGGGCACTAAGTGCGGCAAAGTACTTGGTGTGAAAGCGGCTAAGCAAAACTAAGAGTTTAAGAGAAAAAAAATACATTTAATTAAAAAAATAAAACTATAAGTTGCAACCAAATCATTTGTGTAATCATGTAAACTATAAGTATTTTTTCTTTGTTTTAACATGTCTTTTTGTTTGCAGTTCTCTTTGCTTCTTTCTGATCAGACTTTTGCTCTCGCTGCAGCTCTCTCGTTCGCACTCCTTCATTTTTTGTTTTCGATTCTGACACAAACGTCCCAGGTGGGCGGGACTTTCAGGGGTGCTTCCCCATTGGCTACTCAGTTTTTGAGTGACAGCCCACTAAACCACAGATCATACAGTGCAACTCATGCAGCAAACTCCGGAGTCCACTCGGCCACGTTTGTGTTGGTGTCTCCTGGGGGGTTTTCATGAAAATATCGGACTTATCTTATGGATTGCTGTGCATTATACTTGTGTTGTGTAGTTTATACTTTATTCCAACTTTAAATATTTTAATACCTGAACACACTGCTGCTGTAAAAATAATTTCCCAATTTGGGATCGATAAAGTGTCTGTCTATTTATTTATTTTATAGATAAAAAAAACACATCTATGTATTTTCAAGCTAAAGGTGATACACAATATAAACTGTATACTGTTATTTACTCAAAGACATGTTACATTTCAAAAGCATATAGCCTATTGCTATGTTTAGGACAAACAATTAAAGACTGCTTTAATTTAACAAATTCTACAATATAAAAGTGTCAGATTTGCTTTATTAAACAGACCAGACCTAAGTTGCATACCAACACAATTAGGAACATGCTCACATCTTACTATGTTGGTCTGAAGAGCTGAAGCATTTATTCATACACAATGGATAAAAACGGTGTTGTCTCATTATATATCCTGTGAGAAGCATAGGATGATAGCATTCAAAACTCGACATACTATTCCTAGCCTGAGGAAGATCTGAATAATCAACAGATTTGAATGGAATCTCTAACATTTTAATGTAGAATAAAGACAAAAGAGTGATTATACAAATTACATTTATTGAAATTTTAACCAGAAGATGAAGTCTCAAAGAATGTTTTAAATAAAAGGACATAAAACAAAAAGGTGGATAATAATAAAATATATTAAATGTATATGTAAAGACATTAGTAATACTGTAATGCTACTGTATGATGTCCTTTTGTTGTTCTGTTTATGTTTTTAATGTTTCATGTGGAACCTACTTGAGCAGGTCTCCCTTGAAAAAGAGATCAATGATCTCAATGGGATACAACCTGGATAAATAAAGGTTTGAAATGAAATGAAATGATTAGGTCAAATTAAATGACACTGAGCAAGTGATAACAGCAACGCCCAGCGTGGATGAAGCTGGCAGGTCTTTCTTCATGCCCCCGCTCCGTGCTGTCCCCTCAGAGGAAGTGGGAAACGGGATAAGACCTCTGGACACCACGCTGTCTCAATGATCCACACTGTTAATATGAGAGGAAAATAAATGTTTTAGGAAATGAAAAATATGAAGTTAACAAATAAAACACAGCTCAGGGGCAGTCATGGACGGTAGGTTTTCCTATAAAGAGAAGTAGTAAACTCAGCCTCCATTGATTTTCACATCAAATTAGCGTGTTAATAAAATAAGCTATCATGGCTTATACTTGCATATCTAAACAGAATCATGAAAGCCTGTTGGTAGAGTCAGGCACACGAGTCCGTTTGAGTGTGTGCGCCGGTGTCTGAACGCTCACTCACTGCTCGCTTTGTAGCTAACTGTAGGCTACTTAGCTTGCATTGTTATGGATCTAAAGTTAGCAAAACCTAACTTTCATAACACAGCTTTTCTTTACTTCTCACTTAACTAACACAATAAAGAAACAGACCGTATAGTACAGCACAAACAACACAAATGATCAATACTTACATATATTTTCACTTGTA